TGGCTTCAAACTGATTATTTGCTATTAGAAAACTTTTTTCCATCGAAAACTATGAGAAAGACAAACATTAAAGGAATACTTTTATTATCGAGGAGCAAAATCAAATTAGTTTTTATATTGAAACTCTTCATTTATAGATTGGACATGTTCTATTCACAGTGGTACTCTTTAGTCTTTAAAGCTTTGTGCGTTCAAGAATAAAAATAAAATTTTTAAAAAAATTTTACACTTCACGTGGATTTAATAATTCTGTCAATATTCCAGCAAGCTATGACTTTCAATCACAATTTCTCCTATTAAACATAATTTTTCAGCCTTCTTTCTTAAAAACTTTTTTGCCGGCATATACGTTTTGAATAAAAAGTATTGAACAGACAAATTCGTAACTTAAAAGATTGTTAAAATATAAACCAAAACGAGTATGATTTCAAATAGAATAACCGAATGCCTCTAACTCTTGTTAACTAAAAAGATTATGTCATAACTGAAATGACTTCAATATTAAGAAGAAATTGATACTAAAAAAAGGTTTCCATATTATCTGGCACTATAGTAACAACTTGTAACAAATAACCTAACCTAACCTAGCCTAACCATACTTTTTTAATTAAAATTATAATCATTGTATGTGCTTTGATTTGTCTAAAAATGAATTCTCTTGAATCAAATAATCTAGGTTTAAAATATAAAATGTTTACACCATCAGGTTGCAATGATACAAATATTAGAAAAATTTAAGTTTGTGGCCATTAGACTCAATTCCTTCGCTGAGAAAATTAAAGTTTTAAACACAACACGATGTGCCAAAATAAAAGTGTTGTAGGAAATTTTTGACAAAGCAGTAATGAATAGAAATTTAAGAAAATGCTGGTTCAATTTATAGCATCGTGCTATATTATGCAGCGAATCTTAAATTATAACACAGCGAAAATTCATATCACTGCTATATACTAGAATTAACCATACACTAAACTTGAACGATAAAATGCACAATTGTTTTATAAAATAATAAAAATAAATGCAGTCAGAATAGTTCTGGATAAATCTTGATTAGTGAATAATGCTGGTAGATGTTTAGCATATACCTCTATAAATATCATAGATAGTTTTTCTGTTACCACTACAGATAGTGTAATCGAGAGGAAAATGTACCAAAAAAAAAGTAAAATTTTTTGTTGAAAATTGACACTATAAAGATGGCTTACCAATGATGTAAACAAACAACTTTTTTCACTGAATAAAGAAATTTGTATTAAAAAATTTAGCATTTACATGTTGCTCTTTAAGTGGCAATTTTTCTACGTTATTGTTTGCAGATTTTTCTCTTTAAATTGGTGGATTTTTATGATTAGTGAATAAAGTAAAAATGTACATAGAAAAAATGTGACCAGTGTTCATTGTGTACAATGTATACATGCTAGTTAAAAAGANAATAGAGACCAAGTTTTAAACCCCCTGCCACCCCCCCCCTCTTATCTCAAGTTTTAATGATTAATGAAGGGAGATGAGAAAAGTTCATATTGAGATATTCAAACTAAAGATTTAAAAACTAAATATTTTAAATGTTTTTTATGGCTTTTTTCATTTTCTGTGGACATAATTTCATTTATAGATTTATCACTGTTATACCTTCTTATAAGTGATTAGTTTTAATTGCAGTTCTCAAAAATGTGGTTTTGTTAATTTATGCAGAAAATGTAAAAGAAGGAGAAGGATTTTTTTAATCTTTTTTTAATATATTATGGAACAAAGTTAAATTCTCAGTCATGACTTAAAATATCATCTAAAGGAAGGCGCAAATAAATTATAATCTTCAAGAAGATATTAATTCAATTTAAAACTTGGGAAGTTGCAATAAAATTGAAGTCTTTAGGGAAGGGGCAAGTTGTAGTCCAAGAGAAGTGCACAATTTTAGAACGTAGAAATTAGAAAATAATCCGTGGAAGGTGCCTTAAATTATCTTTAAGAAGTTGTAATTTGGTTTAAAACCTTGTCAAGTTGCACAATTTTTTGCAACTTGTAAATTAAGTCATACCCTTAGAAAGTTGCAATTGAATAAAAATCTTAGGAAGTTGTTGCATTCAAGATGTACTCTTAGGAAGTTGCAATTCATTAGTAATCTTGGGAAGTTACAATTAAGTTATAAACTTTAAAATGTAGCAGTAATCTTTCAGAGATTCCTATTCAAATAAAGGCTTGGGAAGTAGCAATTAGATTATCAGGTTATAATCTTGGGAAGTTGCAATTAGATTATAAGGTAATATTCTCGGGAGGTTAAAAATAGGTTATAATCTTGGGAACTCACAATAATTTTATAATGTTAGAAACAAGACGTTTTAGATTTTCTATTGAAAAAGTGATTTAATTTCAAATTGCTGTTAAAGTGACTTGCAGATTTATAGCAGTGGAAAAAAGGCCCAGAATTTTTAAGGCAGAAAAATGAGAATATTATGTCATTAATACTTATGTAATTTCAACAAATGATAAACGGTATTTCCTAAATTAAATTTTTATACTCATTAGATAAGCAATTAAAATTCATTTAATAAGTTAGATTTGTTCTTTTGTGTTAATAATATGTTCAACTCAATACTCTCAGAGATCCCGTTAATTTTGACGTAGTTAACGTTAATCAAAATTTTATAATTTTATAAATAGTATCTTGCATGGAAGAAAAGAACTAATTGGAAAGGAGTTCTGCAAACGTATATTCTCCGACATGCCGATGTCGTACATCAAAAGTCAAGATTTATTTACCCGACATCTTCGCCATCGGAACTATAGTCTGGGGTAGGATGGTTAAGGTCACCCAGGTTAAACCCGGGCGAGATGCATATTGTTGCTAAAATATTCAACAATCTTTAAAACAGTCTTTTTATGCTTGTATACAGTTAAAACTATAAACCGTATACGCAAACAAATTACGTATAAAAGAGAACAAGCCAAAAAATTATGTTTAATCATTAAAATTGTGTTCGAAAGTCATGGTTCTCTGGGATTAAGACCGAACCGTAAAATCCGCAAGAGGTTTGTTAACATTATACTGTGACGTACTAATACAGCTCAGAAAGCTAGTATAAAACAAAATAAGGTTCCCATTTAAACCGACTTTATAGTACCGACGGCAAAGATGTTGGGTAAATTGGATTTGAAAATTGGATATCTCATTACACTGACAATACTCGTTGCAATTTAACGTTTTTTCTTTAAAAAAATAATTTCATACTTTTTAGATGTCCCGGCTGTTTGTGAGGAAAAAACAGCGGGAAAAATATGAGCTGAAGACCAAGGATAATTTTCAGCCCCTGGAGGAGAGTACATCCAGTCCGGTTCACAGTGTACATAATGTACATAGTTCACTAAGTACACAAGGTGTACAATTGGGGGTAAATGGGACAAATTCAAGTTATGGGAGCATTACATCTCTGCTTAATAACGAGGTATGTTCAGGGGAGAGTTAGAAATTTGTTCAGGGGGGGGGGCCATAATTGTTTTCTTTCAAAGGGGACCCACCACCCATTGGGGCCCAAAATTCCCCTGGAAACCATATATTTATTGATCCAGATGGGCTAAGGCCCCATAGCCCCCCCCCCCGCTTACAAACATTATGGATTACTTTGAAAGTTTTTATAGGAACTGATTACTTCCCTCAAAATCTAATTGTCTGATCCTTATATCTGTCCAACCTGATGGTGTACATATATACAATGTACAATGTAAATACTATGATATTCTGAGCTTGACTATTTGATCTAGATCTAGCATTCAGAAATAAAAATTTGAAATATCAAAGTTATTCGACGAAGCCATCAGGTTTCAAAATGAGTCATAAAATTTGAGTTATAATTGTTCCTTTGTGAAAAGTAAAAAAGTACAAAAGGCTTTTAATCATAATAAAATATATTTATTTAATCCATAAACTTTACCTAACTTTGATATAATATCATATATATTATATTATGAAAAATAAATATTTTTTGTATTATACATTAAAAAAGACATATTTTTTCCATTGGTAAAAATGAAAGTTATGTATATAAGATAATAAATACATATTATTATGATAAGCATATTTCATATTGTCAGCTCTAGTCAATAGACTAGATAAGTATGTAGAGTGGAATTAAGTCGAAAAAAGTATAAAACCGCCATTTTGTTGTACTGTTTCCATACTGCAGGTGTACTGCACATATTTGTGCTATATAACTTTCACTGGTTTATCATTTTAGAGAAAAAAAACTCCTTTTTAGACTCAAAGGGACTAAACAAATTCATACCAAGGGATAGTTTTATTTCACTTCTATTATAATCTCTGTTCTGTGGCTCTATCTGACATCACAGTTGTAGAGATGCTTGAACACTTGGAGTATTGATTTTATATATTCATATTGTTAATACTATCATTAGTAGGTTATTACAATCATAAAACATAAATAATCCTTTCCAACTTTTTATTGAGCTTTAGGTTTCAAATATGACATATTACCAAATGTTTTGCATTCTCTAAAGTTAAAAACAGTTCCCCCCCCCCCATCTTTATTTCTTAATAAAATGCTTAAATGCAAGTTTAAATCTTGCTTAGATTGGAATAGGTTTTAATGTGCCTTAAACAAAGAGATTAGATTATATATTAGAGTGGAATTTAGACAATCCTTCGGTTTGAATTTTGTCAGTCCCTTTCAGCCTGAAAGGGAGTTCAAAGTGTAGAAATCATGTAAATGTTCACAAATTATATGCAGTAGAGTACAATAATACAGTATGTTCCCTATACTATCCATTTCAATTTCGATTTTTTAAAGCTGTTAAATAAACTTAATAAAATGAATTAGGTGAATAAAAAAACATCAATTGAATTATAGTTAGAACGGAAAATCATCGTTTGTAAAGTATGGATGGAAACAGTACTACAAAATGGCCGTTTTACACTTTTTTCTAGTAATTCCACTAAAATATATATTCCATTCTCTTTGGCCTTAGCATAACTAGGTGGTTTTTTTGAGTTCAGTATAAAGTATAAATAAAGAAAACCTTAATTATAGAAATTCCATTACAGTACCTGAATAACAAAATAATATTAATTAATATTATGTTTTACGTAATTGGCATAGAATATACTACTTGGAAAGGAATAAAAGATTTTCAAAAAATGTAATTTCCAATTTTTTTAAATAACTTGTGGGAGAACAAGCTAAAATTCAAAAAGTACATAAATCGTGATACATAGAAAAAAAAAGATATATTATGAATTTTGCTGAGTAATCCATACTAACTTGAGAACCCAGTGTTGCCCAGAGTACTTATAGTAACTCCTGCCGTTTACCCGCGCTTGGTCGTACATTACGAGTGAAGCTATTTTCCCTTGTAAAAGTCGACCCACTCAACTTAGAAACTCTCAAAACCAAGTTAAGAACATTCCCGTGGCTCTCCCGAGTTCCCGAAAAAAAAATGAGGCAAATGAGACAAGAGGTTCCTGAGCTATGATCGTACAAACAAACAAACAGACACACAGAGATCACAACTTTATATATATAGATAGAGAAGATTAAGCTACAGCTCTAATAATTAAATCATTTATTCACATTTCAGCAACTTGCAGAGGATAAGGTTGGTTCAGTGCAACGTAGATTAGATATCAACACCCCTACAATATAAACAGATTAAAGGGACTGTACCCTGCAATATAAACAGATTAAAGGGACTGTACCCTACAATATAAACAGATTAAAGGGACTGTACCCTGCAATATAAACAGATTAAAGGGACTGTACCCTACAATATAATTAGATTAAGGGGACTGTACCCTACAATATAAACAGATTAAAGGGACTGTACCCTACAATATAAACAGATTAAAGGGACTGTACCCTACAATATAAACAAATTAAAGGGACTGTACCCTACAATATAATTAGATTAAGGGGACTGTACCCTACAATATGCACAAATTAAAGGGACTGTACCCTACAATATAAACAGATTAAAGAGACTGTACCCTACAATATAAACAAATTAAAGGGCATGTAAACGTAATTTCAAGTAACCCATCATGTTTTTTTTCTGACTTAGAAAGAAGATATTCTTGTTTTTCTATTGGAAAATGGATAATAACAATTTACCTATCCTTTTGTGAGAATTGAATAACATGCTAATTTCTCCCCATAGACTGGATAGTTTGCTGTTTAATTCGGATCGTTTGAAGAAAACGAAATTGTTCTACAGTGAGGATACCTTGTAGATGGAATAGACTAAATTTGGAATATTAGAGCGCATACTGCAAATAATAATGAAAAAATGTATTTATGTTTTTAAATAGCAATAAGTAAACCACTTGCAGGTTTAAAGGATCGTTCCATTTAACAACGGTACACTCTCTGAACCTTTTTATCAACTTGTTTCTACAGGGTGTCCCAAGAAACATGGTATAATTGAGTGACGAATTAGAGATCGTCTTTTTTAAGAATTAACATTGTGAATTTGTGATATAAAATAATTACTTCTTCCAGAGTTTATTTTATGAAAACTGTAAAAGGCTGTAATGAAAGGCAACTGTACTTGGTTTGTTCACAGGACCGAATTTTCTTTGGAAAACCTGTTTTTGTGAATTGTGCATTTTCTATAAGAGTGACTCGCGGATTTATATAGAATAGACACAAATACTCATACCTTTTTTAGATACTACAGGGTGTCCCAATAAATATGGGAATTCAGTGACGAATTCGATATCGTCTTTTTAAATAGTTCTTTCATTTAGTATAGTGATACCTACTGAGAAAGCTGTAATCTGTATGAATTTCGTTTGCTAAGTTTACAATTAGTTTGTTTATGTTTTGACTGCAAACGGTCGTACTTAGTAAAACAAGAAAATTACAGTATACAAACAGAGAAAACTTGTCCGTCTTCACTGTTCATCTTGCGGAGACATTATAGACACATCTTTACAGCCATTTACCGTTTTCATTAAATAAACTCTAGCAGGCATAATATTACTATAACTTTTGAAATTAGATATTACAATGCTAATTCATAACAAAGACGATATTTAATTCGTCACTGAATTCTCATGTTTATTGGAACACCCTGTAAGATAATTTCCCCAATGTTGAAGTTGTGAATCAGTCATTCCACTTTCTAAACGGGGGGTCACTTCAAATTACGTAAACAGCTCCTTTTAATTAATGATTTTAATTAAGTTCAACGAGGGGAACGAGCCACATTCTCCTCATTTTCTCGTCCGAGCCACCTCGAAATCCTCGTCCTTTCAATATTATTTTTTTAAGTGTCTAATCCTCCCAGATAAACTATTTTTAAAGAATCGGGCCACGTTAGGGCATAAATGAAATATCAAATTTTTGTAAATCGAAAAAAAAGTTTCAATTTAATTAAAGATTCAGAGTTTAATGTCTTTAAAAATGTTCACCTTTATTCCGCGCATTTTCAGATATTCCTGGTGTAGAATTTCCAAGTTTATAGAACTTCAATCTTTATTGTTAACTAGAGTAAAAACCATAAAATTTTTCCGGGTGGTTCCATGGGGAAAATTATATGCAGAGGTATACCAAATAGTTTGCTATTTATTTTATATCACGAAGGTTAGCTATTACGGAGGCAGAAGAGATTTAAGTTTTACCTAAATAAAGTTTGACATCATTCTCATTTCTCATGGGTTTGAAGATTTCAACATGATATAATCATTGCAATACTTTAGTCCATCCATATTTAATGCCCTAACGTGGCCAGATTTTTAAAAAATAGTTTTATCTTCAAGAATTGGAAACTTTTTAACACAAAATAATCGAAGGACTTGGATTCCGAGGTGGTTCGGATGAGAATTTGAGGAAAATGTGGCTCGGACGAGAAATTGTTGTGGCTGACCTTCCTCCCCTCGTTGAACAGATATTCTATCTTTTGAATACGATTGATGAATTATCTATTTAAAGCTCGTAGAAACTAGAAAATTAATAATTCAAGAAAAAAGGGGAAATTAAATATTTATTCTAGATCAAATAATTTTACAACATTTGTTTTAATAAAAATTAAACAATCGTTAAATAAAATTTTTTTATTCCGGGTTATTGAATTTAAGTATTGTTCAATAAAATAGAGTTAGTATAACTGCATGATATAAAAACATTTTTAATTTTTGTAATATTTTTGATATTGGTGAAACCGTGATTACTGATAAACCCTGCATATTAGTATTAGTATTAAATAAGTAACCTCCCCCCCCCCCATACATGATAGGGGTATATAGTTATTTAAAAACTTTTTAAAAGCAATTTCCCCAGTTAATGATTTATATCTATGAATTAGTATAACAGACATAAATGTTTAAGTAAAAAAATCTCGAGTTGTCAAATCAGTTCGGGGTTGGGACGAGATACATACCCCTTGTAAATATTATATTATTATACCCCCCCCCCCTTACATTTAATGTAGAATATATATCAACTTGTTTTGTTTAACTATTAAGACTTTTTTTGTGACTTATCGTAGAAATGATTATCAGCTTATTGTTTTATATAAAATGAACTCTCCTGGCTTTTAATCAATAATGCATGATATGCCTGAATTAGGCAGAAATATAACTATATTTAACATTTTCAATTCGAAAACTTTTTAAGCCATTAAATATTTAGGTATTAAAATAAAAAAAAATTTTGGGCTTATCATGCTATAAAATATTCCGCAGAAGTTTTTTTTACAATATTAAAAAGGACTTTTTAAAAAACGGTTAATTTCGTTTTTTTCTGATTAAAATTGTATGACACTTTTTTTAAAGAATTGATTTTTTTTAAAATGTTTTTTATGTTTTAAAATGTCTTCTTCTGTGTTTATAGACCGATAACGAATTTTTTTTCGCTTTTACTGCTGTTAATACTGCAATAGACTGTTAACTGCTGTGCCTTTAACGATTTCATTAACCGTTTCGTTTTGTAAAAACGGTACCATTGACGGCTAGAGCCATAAAAAATTGTCCGTTAACACTGTTAATAAAATTGATATCGTTAACTAACGGTAATTTTAAAAAATTCAAAATGGCGTTAATGTAACGAATGTTCCATTTACCTTTTCACGGCTAACTGAAATTTTTTTAACGGCTGGTACGTGCCCAACTTTGGACTGGCAGTAATAAATTTTTTATTATGTTGTTTGGTTAAAATTAATATTTTATTTCACTTTATAAACCCTGTTTATTGGCCTAACTCTAATTAAACTTAAGTTTTAGATTTTGTGAAGAGTGCACTGTAAATTTTTTAATTTTCTTTATAACTGAAAAATTAAAAATTAGAATTGTCAAATTCTAGGTTTATGATGATATATTCAAAAAAAATCGTTATACTTCTGATACCCTTACCATCTGGAATGCTGTCTGTTTTTGTATAATTAAAATCAAAATATTTGAATCCTTAAAATTCATCAGAGGCAAATAAATAATTGTTTTGGTAATTTATTTGTTTTTTTTTATCAAACTGTATTTCGGAATATGTAATAACTGCTAACACAAAGCCATCTTTTTCAGCAAATTGCAACTAAAAATGGCTTCCCTCATTTGGAATAGATAAATATGCAAATCAACATTTTAGAACAGCTTATGTAAAAAGGTTGTAATTAGTAATTACAGCTTTAAAAATAGTTTCATATTTGAAATTGTTGCATAATTTAATATAATCATCAAACATTAAAAAATATTGATTATATATATAGCACAGATTTTGGATTTATTTTCTAAATTTACAGTGTGCAGAAACTATTTAGCAATTCAACATTGAGTTTTATAAGAAAATAACCTTCTAATCCCCGCCTTAACTTGTAAATTATTATAGTTGTATTAAAATATTTTTTAATATTGAAGTATTTTTATTAGCTTAAGTCTAGTTGGATAGGCCTTTCAGATTTCCCGGTATTAACAAAACTGCATAATATATTGCATTCGCTTCTATTATTTTTCCTAATGTAAATAATGTAAATAGTAATTAGATAAATATAAAGTATAGGAAATAACGAATAAAACATGATAGAAAACTATAAACTAGAAAATAAATCACATTGTAAAACAAAACCTAATTTTTACAGAAATTTTTTGAAATTTTGAACATTTTGTGTTCGCAATTTCTAAAAGAATGTTAGGTATTTAAAAACGTGCAACATCTCTAATATTCTGTTTACAATTTCGATGAAAAAATTCATGATTTCATGTTTTCTGTTGTTCAATAATTCAAACAATATTTTAGGATTTGTTTGACATCGTACACGGCACAGTTTAAATGGTATGGTTTACGCTGCACTTTACACTGTAAGTGTAAGTGTACATTGTGCACAGTTTACATTGTAGTGTACAGTTTACATTGTAGTGTACAGTTTACATTGTAGTGTACAGTTTACATTGTAGTGTACAGTTTACATTGTAGTGTACAGCGTATAGTTTACATTGCACAATTGACAGTGTATAGTTTTACATCGTACAGTTTACATTGTAGTGTACAGTTTACATTGTAGTGTACAGTTTACATTGTAGTGTACAGTTTACATTGTAGTGTACAGTTTACATTGTAGTGTACAATTTACATTGTAGTGTACAGTTTACATTGTATTGTACAGTTTACATTGTGGTGTAGCGTATAGTTTACATTGCACAATTGACAGTGTATAGTTTTACATCGTACAGTTAACACTGTACAGTGTACAGTATAAAGTTTACAGTGTACAGTTCAAACTGTACAGTGTACACTGTACAGTTTACAGCCCATTTTACAAATATTTTATTTACAGTGGGAAGTTCGATACACATTGAAGGTAAAAAATAGCTTAGCTACTAGTTAGCATGTTTTTTTATTTGAATTACCATGCCTTGTGCAAACTATGTTTCCACTGCACAACTATGTACACAGCACGCGAGTGTACATGACCAGTGCACGCACGTACATACAAACTGTTAACATAAGTAAATTTTTATTTTAGTAAGCTAGAAATATTATTTACAATCCTTTTTCCTTTTTTTGCACGAGATTTTTTTTTGCATTTTCAAACATCATAGGTGATACTTTCGTTTTCAAGTCGGAAGGTTTTGAAGGTTAAAACTGCATTTTAGAGGAAAATGTTTCAGAAAGAATCAAATAATATGTATTCCCTTTTATTTAAAAACAGAAAAAATAAATATTCTGTCATCAAAAAATATTTTTCATTATTTTTTAAAAATTTAATTTAAATTTCTTTTTAAAAATATTTTTGAGATTAAAAAAAATCAGAATTTATTTTAATAAAATAATTTTTGGCGAATTTAATATAATTTCACATTTTTACTTTTCAACGACTTTGACAATACTAAAAAAATTCAAAATACAAAACCCTTTAAACTTTTCAAAAGTTTAGCATACAGTTCCTTAGAATATTAAAAACATGTTATTGTATAGTCTAGATAATTAATATTCTCGGTCTATTATTTGAGTAATGTTAAAAACAAACTGTCCAATACATAATAAAAACGATATTTTTTCAAGATGGTGCAAAGGTTTTGGTCAATAAGACACTCGAAATTCTAATGATGCGTTTGAATTATCGAAATTCTAACGATTTGTTCAAATTATCAAAATTCGAGCGATGTGTTTGAATTATATAAATTCTAACGATGTTTTCGAATTATCAAAATTCTAACAATGTGTTCGAATTATCGAAATTCTAAAGATGTGTTCGATTTATCGAAATTCTAACGATGGGTTCCAATTGTCGAAATTCTAACGATGTGCTTGATTTATCGAAATTCTAATGATGTGTTCGAATTATCGAAATTCTAATGATGCATTCGAATTATGATAAGCTGTGGTAGAATGAATCTAGATTCACTTAAATCTTCTATTGACGGGTCTCCCTTCCTTCTATTGACGCTCCCTTCCTCCTATTGACGGGTCTCCCTTCCTCCTATTGACGGGTCTCCCTTCCTCCTATTGACGGGTCTCCCTTCCTCCTATTGACGGGTCTCCCTTCCTCCTATTCCTCTATTATCGTTATAGGCAAAGTAAAAACGGATCTCCACAATGGGATCGTGTTTTACAAAGAAAAATGATGTGGAGCGAGTTTAAGCCATGAGCTGCTCTTATTTTATTATTTATAGAATCATGTGTATCAGTTTAAGCTTTTCTTTTCTCTTGTATTTTCATGAATCAGGATTTATTCTCGGAAACATATAAATTTTAAACAAAATCCTGCATCAAAAGAATCGTTCTAGGTTTTAGGCACAAGGTTCTAGGTTCCAGGTTCTAGATTATAGGTTCTATACACAAGGTTCTAGGTTCCAGGTTCTAGGTTCCAGGTTCTATATTCCATACACAGGTTCTAGGTTCTAAGTTCTATGTTCTTGGTTCTAGATTCTAAGATCTGGGCACAAGGTTCTAGGTTCTAGGTTCTTGGTTCTAGGTTCTAGGTTCTAGGTTCTAGGCTCTAGGTTCTAGGTTCTAGGCTCTTGGTTCTAGGTTCTAGGTTCTAGGCTCTTGGTTCTAGGTTCCAGGTTCTAGGTTCTAGGTTCTAGGCTCTTGGTTCTAGGTTTAGGTTCTAGGTTCTAGGTTCTAGGTTCTAGGTTCTAGGCTCTTGGTTCTAGGTTCCAGGTTCTAGGTTCTAGGCTCTAGGTTCTAGGTTCTAGGCTCTTGGTTCTAGGTTCTAGGTTCTAGGTTCTAGGTTCTAGGTTCTAGGTTCTAGGTTCTAGGTTCTAGGTTCTAGGCTCTTGGTTCTAGGTTCTAGGTTCTAGGTTCTAGGTTCTAGGCTCTAGGCTCTTGGTTCTAGGTTCTAGGTTCTAGGTTCTAGGTTCTAGCTAGATTTAGATTCTGACCTAATTTTTAAAGAAAAGTTATTTAAATTCTCTATTTCCTTTCTTCTTAGTATATTATAAAGTTTTAAATATACACTGTTCAGTTGAAACCTGAAGAGCCATCGAAAAACAACGTTTCCTTAAAAATTAGGCTAGAACTGAAAATTGCAAATTTTATAATTATAATTTTGCGAATTTTCTGTGATTCTATGATTCTATTTTTATAAAATTTTAGATTTCGATTGAAATAATTTATACACACATTTTTGCTTTTCTGAACTTTTGATTTTGAGAGAAAAAAGTTTCGAGGATTTTTTTTGAGCCATTGGAATACAAAAAAAAATTTTAATTCTCAAAAAATATTGAGAAACACCAAACAGAAGAGTTGCACAAAACAAGGTACAATTTTGCACCAGGCGCCGAAAATCACACTTTTTTTACTCACCCTGTAGGGACAAGGTTCTAGGTTCTAGGTTCTAGTTTTCAGATTTTAGATTCTGGTCTGTAGGGTCTATACTCTATGATTGTTGCATGTAGAAGGAAGAATATATCTGATATTATTATTCCAAAAGGAATTTAATATTAAAGATATTTTTATTCTTTTCTGTCTCACAGGACATTTTTAGCATTGGCGTATACAAGGAGCTGGGGGGGGGGGGTTAGAAAATCCTCTTACAAAGCTTGCCCATGTATTCATTGTAGATCAGGTTTTTAGTACTTAGACTTTTTCACTTTATTTTAAGGACACTAAATAATACACATTTTCTTGTGTAGCACACAATTCTTACAATATCGCATTGATCAAAAATTATAATTTCAACTTTATTATCGAATTATTTCATGTCATCATTGAATAAATTCATGTTATAAATTTATGAGTTCTAGTTATCATTAAATGAATTCATGTTATCAATGTATGATTTCATGTAATTATTGTATGATGTCAGGTTATCATTGTATGATTTCATGTTACCATTGTATGATTTCATGTTATCATTGTATGATTTCATGGTATCATTGTATGATTTCATGTTACCATTGTATGCTTTCATGTTATCATTGTATGATTACATGTTATCATTGTATGATTTCATGGTATCATTGTATGATTTCATGTTATCATTGTATGATTTCATGTTACCATTGTATGATTTCATGTTATCATTGTATGATTACATGTTACCATTGAATGCTTTCATGTTATCATTGTATGATTACATGTTATCACTGTATGATTTCATGCTATCATTGTATGATTTCATGTTATCATTGTATGATTTCATGTTACCATTGTATGATTTAATGTTATCATTGAATGATTTCATGTTATCATTGTAGGATTTCATGTTATCATTGTATGATTTCATGTTATCATTGTATGATGTCAGGTTATCATTGTATGATTTCATGGTATCATTGTATGATTTCATGTTACCATTGTATGATTTCATGTTATCATTGTATGATTTCATGTTATCATTGTATGATTTCATGTCACCATTGTATATTTCATGTTATCATTGTATGATTTCATGTTATCATTGTAGGATTTCATTTTATCATTGTATGATGTCAGGTTATCATTGTGTGCTTTCATGTCATCATAGTATGATTTCATGTTATCATAGAATGATTTCATGTTATTATTGTATGATTTCATGTTATCATAGAATGATTTCATGTTATCATTGAATGATTTCATGTTATCATTGTATGATTTCATGTTATCATTGTATGATGTCAGGTTATCATTGTATGATTTCATGTTATCATTGTATGATTTCATGTTATCATAGAATGATTTCACCAATGTATGATTTCATGTTATCATTGTATGATTACATGTTATCATTGTATGATTACATGTTATCATTGAATGATTTTCAACAGTATATTTGCATGATACTTTTAAATTTAGTATCTGTTAGATTATAAATAATTTAATATTCTAATTTGTGAAAAAATAAGAAATTGATTGTTTAGGATGTTTTTAATCAGAGTAATCCAACCACACCCCATAATTTGACAGCTTTAAGAGGAAAAGACGACATATCTACATATTTTAATGATAAAATAAGGTTAGTTTGATATTTAATATTCTTTTTAAATCAAAGTTTTAATTTTTAATGGTTTTTTATGAAAATGTAGAAGTCTGCACTTCTGGGAACTAAATCAATCTATTTATTTATCAAATTTCGTGTTTTTTTATCAAATTTTACACAATATATGTATATTTAAGTGTAAAATAACGATCAATTGTATTTAAAATAGAAAATAGAAAAAAGAGAGTTTGTGTAAAACTGAATATTTAAAGTTTTTATGGAATCTATCTCTATCAGCTTTTAGGAGAATAAACCTTTCTTTGCATCCCTTGGGAACAATTTTTATAAAGTGAAATATAATTCATCTTAAAGAAGCTCAATATATGTCCCTTATCTGATGGTTGATAGGTTGATTTATTTAGACAATATATGTCCCTTATCTGATGGTTGATAGGTTGATTTATTTAGATAATATATGTCCCTTATCTGATGGTTGATAGGTTGATTTATTTAGATATGCGAGCCAAATTTTATAGCTGCTTATAATTTCTTTTAAAATCTATCAAAAATCAACAAAATATTATCAAAAATCCGCGAAAATATTTTTGTGTTTTGGTTACGCATTAAGCAACAAAAAAACAGTTATTATAAGTTGAAATAAGCAATACAAAGGAATTGAGTCTTTGCCACAAACTCATATTATTTGATCTAACAGAATTCATAGTTTGAAATATTTAAGGTCTACGACATTGGATAGCAAAGATTAGAAAATCACAGTTTGTTGCAAAAACTCAATTTATTTTCTAGGATTTATCTAATAATTTTTATATTTTTTAGAAAAATCGACTTTGTTTTGGTATATGAGGAGGACAAGAAGGATAGTATTGACAATCCAGGGTTTATGTTTGATGTTGAAAACCAGGAGGGAGTCGTTAATAATGGGGGTGCACCCACCCCCTCCCCTACACATCACAGGTAGCTCTTTATATAGGGGGGAGCACCCACCCCCTCCCCTACACATCACAGGTAGCTTTTTATATAAGGTGGTGCACCCACCCCCTCCCTACACATCAAAGGTAGCTTTTTATATAAGGGGGGGCACCCACCCCCTCCCCTATACATCACAGGTAGCTTTTTTATAGTGGGGAGCACCCGCCCCCTCCCCTTACACATCACAGGTAGATCTTTATATAGAGGGGAGCACCCACCCCCTTCCCTTACACATCACAGGTAGCTCTTTATATAGGGGGGGGCACCCACTACCTTCCCTTACACATCACAGGTAGCTTTTTATATAAGGTGGTGCACCCACCCCCTCCTTCACATCACAGGCAGCTCTTTATATAGGGAGGAGCACCCACCCCTTCCTACACATCACAGGTAGCTCTTTATATAGGGGGGAGCACCCACCCCCTCCCCTTACACATCACAGGTAGCTCTTTATATATGGGGTAGCACCCACCCCCTCCCCTACACATCACAGGTAGCTCTTTATATAGGGGGAAGCACCCACCCCTTCCCCTTACACATAACATGGGGAGCACCCGCCCCCTTCCATACACATCACAGGTAGCTTTTTATATAGGGGGGAGCACCCACCCCTTCCTTCACATCACAGGCAGCTCTTTATATAGGGAGGAGCACCCACCCCTTCCTACACATCACAGGTAGCTCTTTATATAGGGGGGAGCACCCACCCCCTCCCCTTACACATCACAGGTAGCTCTTTATATAAGGTGGTAGCACCCACCCCCTCCCCTACACATCACAGGTAGCTCTTTATATAGGGGGAAGCACCCACCCCTTCCCCTTACACATAACAGGTAGCTCTTTTATTAGGGGGAGTACCCACCCCCTTCCATACACATCACAGGTAGCTCTTTATAAAGGGGGGAGGTAGCTCTTAATATGGGGGGCACCCACCCCCTCTCCTACACATCACAGTTAGCCCTATATATAGGGGGGCAACCACCCCCTCCCTACACATCACAGGTAGCTCTTTATATTGGGGGGAGCACCCACCCCCTCCCCTAAGAAATGGAAATGGGGAAAGGGAGGTCACTTTTTTATGCAACTAGAGATTTTTTAAAAAGGGGGGGAATCATAGTTACTTGTGAAATGTTTTGTCTAAACAAAATGTATTCTTCATGTGAATATTCAAGAAGGGAAATAAGATTTTTAGTGAAATAGGAAATAAGATGCCATACTATTTTCTTATAAAGAAGGCAAATGACAAGTTGATCTTGATGGATTTTAGAAAAATTGGTAAAATATTCAAATTCTTAAGGAAAATTGGTAAAATATTCTAAATTTTTAAGGAAAATTGGTAAAATATTTAAAATTTTCAGGAAAATTGGTAGAAAATTCAACATTTTCAGGAAAATGGGTAAAATATTCAAAATTTTCAAGCAAATTGGTAAAATATTCAAAATATTCAGAAAAATGGGTAAAATATTCAAATTTTTCAGGAAAATTGGTAAAAAGAAGCAGAAATTCCGACTGTGGAGGCAAAAATTTATCTCTGGTCTTCAAAGTATTGGGCTTGACATAGAAAGCGTAAGTATTACAAATTAAATTCCCTTGGTCTCTATGTAATAAATACAGTTGAACACACCTAGATAAATTGCGTTGTACATTGTCTGTAATTCTGTAACTGTGTTAATCCTCAAATACGCAAATGCGACTATTGTGATTAGCTTAACTACGATGATATATATCTGCGCAAATATTGCAAATATGTATATTTACTTAACATGTAACATTTCTAAATACATATTTGTTAGTATAGACTCCGCTTTGATTACGGAGTAATTTGGACCTTGTTAAAACATACCAGCGGACATTGTTGACATTGATAGCTGATAAGATTGAGTTTAAAACGTAGGACCCATATAAATTCACATAGTTGCACTATTCCACTCAGATCATAAATAATTCAATTCAAAATTAATCATTTAGATATTACAACCTATAGTTTGTATAATGTATATACAGATTACAGAGTTGCACCTGGATTGATACAGTTTGGAAGCAGGAATCTTAAAAAAATTTTACATTTCAGCTGTGTTTCAAATGAATATGCAGCATGATTAGCTTAATCATGTGATATAAAATGATGTAAATTGTGACTATTTTAACTGTGCTGCAATGAGTAACATGATTGCCTTAATCATGTGATATAGATAAAGACGCAGGAATTTTGTATTTGGGTCTATTAATTTTAACCTCAAATACATTAGTAATTATCATTTGCTGGTGTCCGTGTTGACATCCATAGCTAATGAGATCGCACCCAGTGGTAGTGGCGTTGAAAGAACAATTACTAGTGTCTGTATTGACATCGATAGCTAATGAGATCGCACCCAGTGGTAGTGGCATTGATAGACTAATTGCTAGTGTCTGTATTGACATGGATAGCTAACAAGATCGGGCCCAGTGGTAGTGGCATTGATAGACTAATTGCTAGTGTCTGTATTGACATGGATAGCTAACAAAATCGGGCCCAGTGGTAGTGGCGTTGATAGACTAATTGCTAGTGTCTGTATTGACATGGATAGCTAATGAGATCGGGCCCAGTGGTAGTGGCATTGATAGACTAATTGCTAGTGTCTGTATTGACATGGATAGCTAATGAGATCGGGCCCAGTGGTAGTGGCGTTGATAGATTAATTGCTAGTGTCTTGTTGATATCGATAGCTGACGAGATCGTGCCTATTTTTTTGGTATCGAAAGGTTATAAGATTGGAACCGGGCTTAGACATTTGATAGTAATGGAAAGGAATTGCACCTGGATAGATACGAGTTCGAGAGCAGCTTATAGAGTAGGGTATTTACTACAAATCTTGCTCTGTCTTGTATACTATATCTTGCTCTGTCTTGTATACTGTAAGATTGATCATGTTCTCTGAAAGAGTAATATATACAGCTCATTGTTCCAGCCAAAGTAAATAAAAAGCTTGCACCTTTAAACAGTAAATAATAATAAGGTTACTTTTCACCAATATCAGAATTAATGGTTCAATGTTTAATATGCTTTTCATATTTTCATATTTTAGATTTAAACGATACTTAATTTAGTAAAATCTATTCTTCTGACATATCTACCAGTTTTTTTGTGGCAACTCACAAAACCTTAATGATAGTGTGTGGAATCATTAAATAAGATCTGAAATGCGCCGATGAAAATTCAAGAAATGTTAATATTTATAAAACATTTAACAGCAAAAGATGTAAATAGATAGCGCTTAACTTAATGCTTTGGATTGGGCTTAACTCTATGAGAAGAATTAAATATTCAATTTGTTTTCATTCAGTGGGAGACAGACTGGGAATATGATTTAATAATATTAAAGGAATACAATAGGATTGAATATAATGGAATAAATAGGATGGAAGAGAATAGGATTGAATATATTCGAAGAAATAGGATGGAAGAGAATAGGATTGAATGTAATAGGATGGAAGAGAATAGGATGGAAGAGAATAGGATTGAAGAGAATAGGATGGAAGAGAATAGGATGGAAGAGAATAGGATGGAAGAGAATAGGACGGAAGAGAATAGAATGGAATATAATAGAATGGAAGAAAATAGGATGGAAGAGAATAGGATTGAATATAATAGGATGGAAGAAAATAGGATGGAGAAGAATGTAATGGTATAGAATAGGATGAAAGAGAATAGGATGGAAGATAATAAGATTGAAGAAAATAGGTTGGAAGATGATAGGATGGAAGATATTAGGATGGAAGAAAATAGGTTGGAAGATAATAGGATTGAACATAATAGGATGGAAGAGAATAGGATGGAACTGGAAGGGAATAGGATGGAAGAGTATAGGAAGGAAGAGATTAGGATGAAAATAGGATAGAAGGATTAGCCTAGGAAAAAAACTAAACTACTCGGTTCTAAACTTGTAAAATCAGGAAATCTGCGAATTAAAGTATGTTTATAGTTTAGTGTTATAATGCACGAATACAAAATGATCGCAATCAAATAAACATCAAAGAGTTGAAATAAAGAAGTAGAAGAATAGTATGTGATCGAAAAAATATTTATATCGGTTTTTGTGAACATTAAAGAAATATTTGGTATTATTGTATGTTTACATAAATAAAGTGAGTAATTAATCAAAATAATTTGTCATTTTGTGATAAATCAACAAAGTTGAGGGAACAAGACAAATGTGTCCGAAGAGTCCACTTGTTCAAACTTGTAACACGTGTCTTTTATTTTTTATGACTATAAAACACCACGTTACAAAGGATGGAAAACAATGAAAATGTATAAATAAATTTCGCTTGTCTTTCTGTTTGTTTGTATCCAATAAACGTCAAAACGATTGAACCAACCGGGCCCCAGGGAAGCTTTATGAATGATAAAATTTTTAAAAAATTGGTGTTTAAAAGTTTTTTTTAAATATTTTGTTTAATTTAAAAATGCGCGAAAAAATATTATGAGATATGGACGCGAAAAGCCTAGTTTATTTATAGTTATTTTTATTCTTGTTGTAGTTAAGGATTATTTAATTATTGTTATCATGAAAAATATGTTCATAAATAACCATTGTTAATAATAAACCATTGGCAATTATTAATCAATGTTAATTATTAACATTTGTTAATTATTGGTTATTGTTAATAAATAACCATTATTGGTGATTAATCACAATAAAAAATTAACCATTTTTAATGATTAACCTGCATTAATAATTAACCTTTTTTAACCTGCATTAATGGAATAATAATTAATTTAACCATTAATAATAATTAACATAATCAATAATATCTTAAATTATTAAATAATTGTAAAAATCGTTTCTTCTGGTGGCTGAAGCAACTTGTTAAATATTGCAAACGACTCTACGCGGCCTATTTAATGATTGTACATTGTAAAAAGTCTCATTGGTATAAACTGAATCCGGAAAATTACTACCAATTACTACTATGTTTAGCCGGCCACTCCGTTTACTTGTTAGTTGAATTGACAGCTTATTAATTAAATGTTTGTTAACGAAACGTTGTCCAACGGATATGTATATTGCATTTATGCATTGCATATGCGGCCCAAATTAATCTTTCTTGGCAGAGTCAATGTGAGATATAAAGGATTATTGATAAGCGATACATTTACCCGGTTTTATGTCCTAGATAATAGGAGTCTATTGGATAATAGTATAATACAATACACAATAATATGCGGATTTATGCTGCAGAAACAATGGAAGAATTAAACGCTTTTGAAGCTAAAATAACAAAATATATCCTCCACATTATTGATCAGATAAAGGTTTAACGAGTAATGTTCATATTTAGAGCACTGGATTAATAGCTTGTTTGATAGCTACGCTTGTGTCCCTGTGTGGCATTGAAAGCCTGGATTAATAGCTTGTTTGATAGCTTTGCTTGTGTCCCTGTGTGGCATATAGAGCCTGGATTAATAGCTTGTTTGATAGCTTCGCTTGTGTTAAACTCCTGATAAACAAACTCCTAAAAGACAAACTCCTGATAAACAAACTCCTAAAAGACAAACTCTCGAAAGACAAACTCCTAAAGGACATACTCCTTAAAGACAAACTCCTTAAAAAAAAATCCTTAAAAACAAACTCCTGAAGGACAAACTCCTGAAGGACAAAATCCTGAAAGATAAATTCCTGATAAACAAACTCCTGAAAAACAAACGCCTTAAAGACAAACTCCCTAAAGACAAACCCTTAAAGACAAAGCGCGGAATATAAACTCCTAAAAGACAAAGCGTGGAATATAAAATCCTGAAAAACAAACTGCGGAAATACAAACTCCTTAAAGACAAAAAGGTTTGATACCGCCTCTAATCAAAGCATACAATCCTTAATTTTTTACAAGAAAGCGTAATAATTGAATCTAGTCTATTACCCACAGGTTTATTTATACCGGGTCGAGACTTATTTCTCTGAATCGTGGTTTGTTTTAGTTATTTTAATATTCTTTTATTACACCATTGAATTCTCATTCTTTCCTTGTAAAAGAATTGGTATTCTGGAGTAAGAATGAGAAATAATATTATCTGAGACTAGGACGGAGAATTATGAAATGTTACATTCCCGCTGGGGAAACTGGAGAATTCAGGGTCGGAGAAATAAAATTGTCTACAGGAGGACGGAAAACTATGATTATACGGAGTTAGAAAAAAAAAGAAATATAATAATCTGGAAAAGGACGGGTAAATATAAAAATCTGGAATAGGACGGATAAATATAATAAACCAGAGTAGGACGGATATATTTAATTATCTGGAGTAGGACGGAGAAATATAACAATCTGGAGTAGGACGGATAAATATAATAATCTGGAGTAGGACGGAGAAATATAATAAACCAGAGTAGGACGGGTAAATATAAAAATCTGGAGTAGGACGGATAAATATAATAATCTGGAGTAGGACGGATAAATATAATAAACCAGAGTAGGACGGATAAATCTAATAATCTGGAGTAGGACGAAGAAATTTAATAAACCAGAGTAGGACGGGTAAATATAAAAATCTGGAGTAGGACAGAGAAATATAATAATCTGGAGTAGGACGGAGAAATAAAACAATCAGGAGTAGGACGGATAAATATAATAATCTGGAGTAGGACGGAGAAATATAATAATCTGGAGTAGGACGGATAAATATAATAATCTGGAGTAGGACGGAGAAATATAACAATCTGGAGTAGGACGGATAAATATAATAATCTGGAGTAGGACGGAGAAATATAATAATCTGGAGTAGAACAGATAAATATAAAAATCTGGAGTAGGACAGAGAAATATAATAAACCAGAGTAGGACGGAGAAACATAATAATCTGGAGTAGAACGGATAAATATAAAAATCTGGAGTAGGACAGAGAAATAAAATAAACCAGAGTAGGACGGAGAAATATAATAATCTGGAGTAGGACAGAGAAATATAACAATCTGGAGTAGGACTGAGAAATATACTAATCTGGAGTAGGACAGGGAAATATAATAAACCAGAGTAGGACGGAGAAATATAATAATCTGGAGTAGGACAGAGAAATATAACAATCTGGAGTAGAACGGATAAATATAATAATCTGGAGTAGGACAGAGAAATAAAATAAACCAGAGTAGGACGGAGAAATATAATAATCTGGAGTAAGACGAATAAATATAAAAATCTGGAGTAGAACGGATAAATATAAAAATCTGGAGTAGGACGGAGAAATATAATAACCTGGAGTAGGACGGATAAATATAAAAATCTGGAGTAGGACGGAGAAATATAATAAACCAGAGTAGGACGGATAAATATAATAAACCAGAGTAGGACGGATAAATATAATAAACCAGAGTAGGACGGAGAAATATATTAAACTGGAGTAGGAAGGAGAAATATAATAATCTGGAGTAGGACAGAGAAATATAATAATCTGGAGTAGGACGGAGAAATATAATAATCTGGAGTAGGACGGAGAAATATAATAAACCAGAGTAGGACGGATAAATATAATAAACCAGAGTAGGACGGAGAAATATAATAAACTGGAGTAGGAAGGAGAAATATAATAATCTGGAGTAGGACAGAGAAATATAATAATCTGGAGTAGGACGGAGAAATATAATAAACCAGAGTAGGACGGGGAAATATAATAATCTGGAGTAGGACAGAGAAATATGATAATCTGGAGTAGGACGGTAAAATATAATAATCTGGAGTAGGACAGAGAAATATAATAATCTGGAGAAGGACGGATAAATATAATAACCCGAAGTAGGACGGAGAAATAAAGTCTCCAGGAGAAATGTAGCTATCCGGGAGCAAGACTTATTCCGTTTGATATTTTGTTGCAAAAGAAAATAATGATAAAATAACATAAAATTATAAAAGTTTTGAAGCCAAAAGAAACATTTCTCTAAAAGTCAAAATAGAAGAATAAGAAGGAGTACAAGGATTGAGAAGGAATACAAGGATTGTGAATGAATACAAGGGTTGAGAAGGAGTACAAGGATTGAGAAGGAATATAAGGATTGTGAATGAATACAAGGGTTGAGAAGGAATACAAGGATTGTGAATGAATACAAAGGTTGAGAAGGAGTGCAAGGGTTGAAAAGGAATACAAGGATTGTGAATGAATACAAGGGTTGAGAAGGAGTACAAGGGTTGAAAAGGAATACAAGGATTGTGAATGAATACAAGGGTTGAGAAGGAGTACAAGGGTTGAGAAGGAATACAAGGATTTGAATAAATACAAGGGTTGAGAAGGAGTACAAGGATTTAGAAGAAAAAACAAGGATTGAGAAGGAATATAAGGATTTAGAAGAAAAAACAAGGATTGAGAAGGAATACATGGATTTAGAAGAAAAAACAAGGATTGAGAAGGAATATAAGGATTGAGAAGGAATACATGGATTGAGAAGGAATACCAGGATTGAGAAGGAATATAAGGATTGAGAAGGAATACAAGGATTAAGAAAAAATACAAGGATTGAGAAGTAATATAAGGATTGAGAAGGAATATAAGGATTGAGAAGGAATACATGGATTGAGAAGGAATGCAAGGATTGAGGAGGAATACATGATTAAGAAAAAATACAAGGATTAAGAAAAAATACAAGGATTGAGAAGTAATATAAGGATTGAGAAGTAATTGAGAAGGAATACAATGATTTAGATGGAATACAAGGATTGAGAAGTAATACAATGGTTGAAAAGGAATACAAGGATTGAGCTTGAATACAAGGATTGAGAAGTAATACAATGGTTGAAAAGGAATACAAGGATTTAGCTTGAATACAAGGATTGAGAAGTAATATAATGGTTGAAAAGGAATACAAGGATTTAGCTTGAATACAAGGATTGAGAAGTAATACAATGGTTGAAAAGGATTACAAGGATTGAGCTTGAATACAAGGATTGAGCTTGAATACAAGGATTTAGCTTGAATACAAGGATTTAGCTTGAATACAAGGATTAAGAAGTAATACAATGGTTGAAAAGGAATACAAGGATTGAGCTTGAATACAAGGATTGAGAAGTAATGCAATGGTTGAAAAGGAATACAAGGATTGAGCTTGAATACAAGGATTGTGAAGTAATACAATGGTTGAAAAGGAATACAAGGATTGAGCTTGAATACAAGGATTGAGAAGTAATACAATGGTTGAAAAGGAATACAAGGATTGGGATGGAATACAATGATTGAAAATACAAGATTAAATGGAAGTTTTCAAAAAGAATCAAAGAATTCAAATAATACACAGTGATGGAAAGGTTAAGTAGAAATACATGACATGGAGGAGGAAAAACAGGATTATGAATGTAAGCAAGGATTTATAGGATAGAAAGGATGAATGGATGGGGAAGGAATGGAAGCAATACAGAAATGAGAGAGATGGAAAGGATGGAGGAAGAATGAATGTTTTAAGAAATAATGAAAGCAATACTGAGATAAGAAAAAGAAAATAACACAATTTTCAAATTCATAAAGTAGTTTTATTTCAGGATGTGGTTGCGCAGTGTAAAAATAATCTTCACTTTTTAAAAATCCACGCTCCTTGGTCTCTCATCTGTAGATATGCAGAGGAACTGAACCTTAGAGCTCCTTTACAGGTTCATTTTACTACTGTGTAGAAATCTACTCCTGGTATACATACTTTAATGTCTCTTACTTCCTTTTAACACTGTGTAATTATTTTGTATGTGTCTCGTTTATGTTTGCAATTTCCATTTCTTAAAATTTCCTCTCCATTAAAGGAGAAAAAAAACTGGTTTAACAGTCTGGATATATTATCAAAGCTTAATCGTCTAAAACCTTCTAACTTCTCTTTAGTAATAAAAATACACTTTTATACAATTTACTTTCTTTACAAATTAAAAGAAATAAAAAACATTACATAAACATTAAAGTAAATTATATAATTCATTTAAGCTCGACAATGAGTTAGACAGTTTTTAGTCGGTATTACAGTACTGTACTAATTCCTGGTAGTAGAGATAGTACTGTACTCCTAAACTCTGGTTGTACAGGTAGTATTGTATTCCTGAGAGTACAGATAGTACTGTACTCCTGGTAGTTCAGAAAGTACTCCTGGTAGTACAGATCAAACTGTACTCCTGGTATTTCAGATAGTACTGTACTCCTGGTAGAACAGATAGAACTGTACTCCTGGTAGTACAGATAGAACTGTACTCCTGGTAGTACAGATAGAACTGTACTCCTGGTAGTACAGATAGTACTGTACTCCTGGTAGTACAGATAGTACTGTACACCTGGTAGTACAGATAGAACTGTACTCCTGGTAGTACAGATAGAACTGTACTCCTGGTAGTACAGATAGAACTGTAATGCTGGTAGTACAAATAGTACTGTACTCCTGGTAGTACAGATAGTACTGTACTCCTGGTAGTACAGATAGAACTGTACTCCTGGTAGTACAGATAGAACTGTACTCCTGGTAGTACAGATAGTACTGTTCAAGGGCTATGTTTATCTGCTCATGTGAAAACTGAACGAATTTCTAGAAAATATAGTGTTATCTTTTTTCTAGGCTCATCCGAACCCCTCCATGAATTGGTCAGAATGGATCCTTCAGAAACTCCGTCTCCCGAACCCTATGTTTGAGAATGTTCCAAACCGTCCGTTGGATTACTACACTTGTCCTTTTAAAACTACAAAACTAGATAGGTAGGTTTACAACCATGATATGAGCTTGTTTGTTCACAAGTTAGAAAATGGCACAAATCCTGTTTTTACCACTCACCACCCTATATTTGTTTACAAGCAATAGAAAAAAGGATTAATTATTTTTCTGTATCATAAATCATAGAAGAAAGGAAACTGAAAAGTTAAAAGTTATCCGGTAATATCGTCATCTTCCCGTTATCTATACACATACTTTGTTATCTCGTAATATCGTTATCTTCCCGTTATCTACACACATACTTTGTTAACTCGTAATATCGTTATCTTCCCGTTATCTACACACATACTTTGTTATCTCGTAATATCGTTATCTTCCCGTTATCTACACACATACTTTGTTAACTCGTAATATCGTTATCTTCCCGTTATCTACACACATACTTTTTTATCTCGTAATCCCGTTATCTACACACATACTTTGTTAACTCGTAATATCGTTATCTTCCCGTTATCTACACACATACTTTTTTATCTCGTAATCCCGTTATCTACACACATACTTTGTTAACTCGTAATATCGTTATCTTCACGTTATCTACACACATACTTTGCTTGTCTGTCTATTTGTTAGACAGCTGAACCGAACGGTCCAAAATTTTGTGTGGGACCTCACATGATCCCAGATATAGTTTATGTAACATCAAAATTGTGAAACAAATTCCTTGAAAATAGTTAAAAGCTAAAATTATTTACAGGAAAGGGGACACGAACGTATAGAATGTAACCATTTACCTCACTCAACATTTACTGTATATGCATTCACTCGTACTGTCCAGTCTGGACTGACAAGTGTAGTGTCGACCCAACACTTTTTATGCAACAAATGTAGCCTGGCTGGCTGTAGGCTGGTTCACTATGCAAATTTGAGGATTTATGGTTCATGGTCTCTGGTTTCATAAAACACCGCTATTTTATGAAATAATAAATTTAAATGGAAATCAGTCAAGTCTAGATAAATATCTACATTTCATCCTGCTTTTCCTATAGAATACTGGTCATTTCCTAGAATACTGGTCATTTCCTAGAATACTGGTCATTTCCTAGAATACTGGTCATTTCCTAGAATACTGGTCATTTCCTAGAATACTGTTCACTTCCTAGAAAACTTGTCATTTTCTGTGACCTTTCCCTTATTAATTCTTATACTTCCAACAATCTATTTTTGAGCCTTTTCTAATTTCCTGTTTCTGGAATACTATTCCTGTTGCTTTCAACCTTTTCTAAATTCCTGTTTCTGGAATCCTATTCCTGTTGCTTCAACCTTTTCTAATTCCTGTTTCTATAATACTATTCCTGTTGCTTTCAACCTTTTCTAAATTCCTGTTTCTGGAATCCTATTTCTGTTGCCTTCAACCTTTTCTAAATTCCTGTTTCTGGAATACTATTCCTGTTGCTTTCAACCTTTTCTAAATTCCTGTTTCTGGAATCCTATTCCTGTTGCTTCAACCTTTTCTAATTCCTGTTTCTATAATACTATTCCTGTTGCTTCAACCTTTTCTAAATTCCTGTTTCTGTAATACTATTCCTGTTTCCTTAAACCTTTTCTAAATTCCTGTTTCTGGAATACTATTCCTGTTTTCTTCAACCTTTTCTAAATTCCTGCTTCTGGAATCCTAGTCCTGTTTCTGATCCTGCTTCCATTTCTATAGTCCTGGTTCTAAGTCTAGTGTCTATGCCCAGGCCTATTAGCATAATTACACTGATTCTTCACAAAGTGAGATATATGAACGATTCACAACAGAACCCTTTAAACTTCTGTCTCAGCAAAAATTCCAAAAATTTTCATGTTTCAATCTAATATTTGAAGCACTTGATTCACTTGAACCATATTCAATTCAAACACTCTCATTCAGAAGCTTACACAATTATGAGGCAGACGCTAAACTTCAACCTTGGAGTGTGTTAGGTGGGGAAGATTTTACTGCAGATTTTACATTTGTGCATGACCACTTTTTCAACAATTTACAATAAAATTAGTATTTATTTAGGGTTAGGTTAGGTTAAGACACTTTCTGGGTCGAGCGCTGCGGCTATGACAGGCTAGGGGGCCGAGCGCTGCGGCCACGGGTTAGGTTAAGTTATGACACTTTCTTGGTCGAGCGCTGCGGCTAGGATTCAATCTCGGTCTACAAATGGCATCCCCCCTTAATCATGCTTTTAATTAAGCGCGGCAGTGAAGTCTTCCCCACCTCGTACACTCGAAAGTTGGAGTTCAGCGTCTACCCAAATATGACAATTTTTTATTCCTTTCTACGAAATAAAACCGGATCCCCCGAAAAATACAAAACCTCATTTTACACAATTTAAAAAATATCTGTTAAACATGGTTTTTCTATAAAAGATATTCTTAGTTTCTATGTGTGTCTGTTTGTATAGAATATTTAGTTGAAGAAAGACAAGGAATTCAAGAAAAGAGAATTATGTCTCTTTAAAACCGGTTCTAATGCGCAAACATAAATTGGAATTACTTTAAGCTTGACTGAATTCAATTCATTCAGGGGTTTCTTACAACTTTTAAAGGGACTGTTTACGTAATGTTTAAATCACCCTGTATGTCCGAATCACGACAATTATTTTTTTCTAAAAATTATTGTTTTTTTTTCTATCTAAAAATTGATAATTTTCAAATGCGGTTTCTCTATACAGATGACTTTCAGAAATATGTGCAGCAAAGATAAAGAAGAAAATAAACAGAATGTTTTAAATGGAAAATCAAAGATAGCTTCCTGACTCTTATTCATATGAGGCTACCCTACACTTGGGTAGAGAATCTACAATTGTTAATAATCAGTTTTCAGAAACGTAAACACATATGTATATATAATCTGCTTGATCAGATCTCAAATCTCAAGTCTATTAAGGGACCTGTTGTGAATCGGGCCTTGCAATCTTTGCAGTCTTCTATATTATAGTAAATGCAAAAACTCTCATTGAATATAAAGTTAACATACAGTACATTAAAGTCGACCTTTTTCCCTTGGAGGGGGTCGTAAAACATTTGGAAAATTACGCGCATTTCTTTTAATTGTTTTAAAATAGAATTTGCTAAAGCATTTCTCAAGTTTATTATTCAATTAATTAAGTGTTTTTATGTGTACATATTCACATTTTACTTACGCACAAAGCACACCTCCTAGATTGTAAATTTGCACAAAATTTTAATTTTTATATTATTTTCAGTTACAGGCAGTAAGTACACTGGGTTTAAGGCACTCTCTTCACTTTTGTAATCAGATTTAAATGGAGTTTTTTAAAACTTTAGTCAAAAAAAAGTTTTTAAAGATTTCATTTTTTTGTAGTGCATCCTACCCTTTGTATATAATTGTTAAAGTAAACTTACCTAGTATTTTTAAATCTTAAATTCAATATTCTTAAAATTTATTTTATGAAAAAAGTTTAATTTTTTTAATTATAACTTTCTTGTTAATTCATTATTGATAAATTTCTGGGAATTCTTGATTAAAAATTTTATGTTCTAAGTTACTCAATTTTTTAGATTAAAGAAAAAAAATAAAAGAACTGAGTTTTGCCACAAACTCTGATTTTCTATTCCTTATATCTTCGCAAACCAATTTCAAACTATGAATTCTGTTAAATCAAATAGTAAATTAAGGGGCTACTTAAAAGTCTATTAAGTTTACCAAGTGTCAAATTACATGTATGATAGAAAAAATAAGCAGAAACAATTTTTTTAAATTTCTCTTTTTTGCTCATGCTCATATCTTCTCTCAGAGTCAAAAATTTATGTAATTTACGTACAGTGATAACTAGAAAACATTATAGATAGCATTATAGATAGCCACACTTATGGTGTATGGATTGTTTTACCAGACACTTATTAAATCACTTAAATGGGGGTGCTTACAATGCAATTTCTGTATGTTGTCTAGTTATCAGCTTAATTCTGGTTATCACTGTATAAACAATATTAAACTTTTTTTCAATATTCATCGTAATTTTAAAGAGGTGGTTGCGTGCTAAACACCTTTATATTGTCTAATTGCATGAATTCCTTTTCCTAACTTTAGACTATAGAGTATAGAGTAGATTAAAATGTATAGTATCGATAAAAATGTACAAAAAGATTTATCAATCTTTCAAACTTTTTTTAAATGCTTAATTAATCATTTCAAATAAAACTTGGTTAAATCTTTCTGATTATAAAAAAGAAATACAGGGTGTCTCAAAAAACAGTATTTGATGCTAAAACCTTAATCTTGAACAGAGTTTATTATTTTTCAAAAATTTCCAATATATAATGCGTTCAAAACTGAGGCTCCAGTCTCAAATAATGATATATTTTTTGGGACATCCTGAAGATATAAAATATTTCATGTTTTTTGGGACACATTTGTATCTAGTACTCTGCTAAATCATGCAATACTGTCAATCCAACATAGCCAGAGCTTTATAACTCTTTTATTATTTAGTAGCGGCTTATTTCAGAATAAATTGTGTCAGAGAACTAAATAAGATTAATTTTATTTTCATCCTAAAATAAAGAAGTCAAATATACCATGGCATGTTTTCCAAGCTTGGTTTCGTGGAAGATACAACAAAACTTAATGATAAATGTTTCTCAGATTCTAGTCGTTAAAAACTGCAGCAGTCTAAACTTTAGACAGTTTAATTGCTATTTTCTATTGGTTTAAAACATTGGAATCTTCCAATTAAACTGAAGAAAATTTATCTTGAAATATGCAAAAACTTAAAAGGCACATCCCCCCCCNAAGTAAAAGTTCTAACCCTAAGTAAATAAAGATTTTAACCCTAAGAATTATTCAGGTTCCTTGGGAGTGATGATCTTGGGAGTTTCTTCTCCCGTGCTCAAAGATCAAGAATTGTTTATGAAATATTATCCACAACAGCATTCGGGAGGGAGAAGAAAGGAGAGGTAAGAGCCTTTCATAGAAAAAATATCAAAATTTTATATTCCAAATGCATTTTGAGAAGGAAGCATAAAACATAAACACATGAACATATATGTTGAATTTTTTAATCATTATAACTTTGCAACCTGAGAACGAGTTTGTGGCGAATTTTAACCAAAAAGGATGAGACTGTAAAGACGACCAAAAACTATAAAACATGAAGCTTTATTTTTGGTTTCTGCAATCGTCTCTGAAGTTTCGTCCTTTGCTGGAAACCCTATTATAGTATGTATCCATTTATCTATCTAGTATATATCCATTTATGTATCTATCTAGTATATATCAATTTATCTATCTAGTATATATCCATTTATCTATCTATTNTGGGTACAATCCATTATAGATTAATCTGGGTACAATCCATTTTAGATTAATTTGGGTACAATGTATTACAGATTAAACTGGGTACAATCCATAATAGATTAATCTGGGTACAATTCATTACAGATAAATCTGAGTAAAATCCATTACAGATTAATCTGGGTACAATTTATTACAGATTAATCTGGGAACAATCCATTACAGATAAATCTGGGTACAATCCATTGTAGATTAATTTGGGTACAATTTGTTACAAGTTAATCTGGGTACAATCCATTATAGATCAATCTGGGTACAATCCATTACAGATAAATCTGTGTAAAATTCATTACAGATTAATCTGGGTACAATCCATTATAGATTAATCTGGGTACAATCCATTACAGATAAATCTGAGTAAAATTCATTATAGATTAATCTAGGTACAATCCATTACAGATAAATCTTGGTGCAATCCATTATGGATAAATCTGGGTGCAGTACATTATTGTAGAACAATATACAGGCGTCGGTGGTTAACAGACTAATAGTCTGGTTGGTTAATTAGCTAATTAGTTCATTGGCTAATATTCACAACATGAATGACAATAACTTAATGTAGATAAAATATTAGATAAAATAGCTTACTAGTGTTTATATTATACATGAATAACAATATTTTAATGTGGTTAAAATATTAGATGAACTAGCTTACTAGTGTTTATATTAGAGAATAACAATATTTTAATGTAGTTAAATGTTTGAGGGTTTGGTGGTGTAGTTTAAAACATGTTTTATAATCTTGAATTTCTGTATCTTCTACCCCTGTATCCTGTGTTCTTCTATCTCTATATCCCTGTATCCTGTGTTCTTCTATCTCTATATCCCTTTATTCTGTGTTCTTCTATCTAAATATTCTTGTATCCTGTATCTCTCTCTTTATATACATATATAGGTGTTGTTA